TATTATATTTTGTGTTAAATTAAAATCTCTTTTTAAATTAAACATTTAATGCCTACATTTTTAATCAAATGCATATTAATTTTATTTGCCATTTAAAAATGTTTTAACTAATGCTTAAAAAATGACATATATGTAAAACTTGCCTAATTTTTGTTAAAACCGCCATTAGATTTTTATGAGACAACGCCACTCCTTTCGGCAATCCCGTGGTGCCACTTGAGTAGAGAATAACTAACGGATGCCGACTGGGATCATCAATAGCTGCAGGCTTGTATCTTATATAGTCAGCATCCGATTCATTATTTAAGATAGTCGTCAAAGTACGGACATTTGTGAGCGGTTGATCATCCAACTGTATTAATTCCATTTTCCAGGATAATTTCGGTAGGATCTTAGCAAAGATATTTTCGGTACGCTGAGATACGAAAACAATACGCGGTTTCGCGATGTTTAATATGTGCCGGAATTCATCTAAATGATAAATACTTGAAATGAATTGGCGTTCAAACTCGACAGATATTGTATTAATAATTACTGTAACCATATATTCATAATTAAGTTACTATATATTATAAATATACAATAGTAATTACATATATAATAATAAGTACTTTTACTTACATTCTGTGTAAATAGGACTGTACGGTGCAACTATAGCACCGAGATAATAGCTCGCGTAAACTGGTATTAACCAATTCAATCGATTTTCAGTTGCGATGCCAATTCTGTCCCCAATTGTTATTCCATACTTTTGTAAAAAATTTGCTAACTTCACGCTTTTCTGAAGTAGTTCTCTATATGTCATTCGATTGCCGGTTTGTCCATCTATCTACAAGAAAATGATACTTTCTTTAAAATTGTATAGAATCAATATAATCATAAGATATTCTAGAAAAAAATATATAAAATATAAAAAATATAAAAAATAATTTTTTTAATTCACTTTTACATGCTGTATTACTCGATTCTTTTAATACACGTTAAAATATGTTGTGAAATTTTAATTAAACATATTACAAAAATCTTACACTAAAATTTAAATGTAAAATACAAATGTATTTAAAAATTGCAATTGTATTTAATAATATAATTACAAAAACTGTATGACTGTATAATATAAAATTGATTAAATATCGTTTTTCTTAATGTCTTGTCTTATTAGAAAATATTTTTTAAAATGCTAGTACTTGGAATTTAAAAGGAAATTAACATAAAAATGCGATAGGGAAAACTCAGAGAGGAAACTCGTAAATTTCGTATCCGGCGATTAGTGCCGATAAAATTTTAAAAAAATTTTTGTTGCTTTTGCGCGCTTTGTTATTATCTCGCGTAAACAATCGACCTATAATTAATAATCGCTACTGTTAGTATTAATAAACGCTACTCGATTTCGTAATTATAACACATACTGCATAAACACGATTGCCGTTCTCGCGCAATTTGTTCAATATGACTTCTCCCACAGATACATTTGGCGTTGGCTGTTCCAGACGACGCTCATATATCTTTCCCATCTTTGCAATAATGAAGTAACGTTTGTCTGACAAGCAACGATGTGTTTCTACATAAAAAAATAATTTCATTCTTGAATTAAATTAATTAAAGTGAAACAATGTTTATTTAAAATTCTTCTAATTTCTAAATTAGAAAATAATTATAAATTAATATATAATTTAATATTCAAAACATAATTAAAAAATTAAATGTAAAGATCTAATAAAGGTCATTCATTTAAAATTTCTATTGAGTATATAAGTCGATTATAAATCTGTTATTAAAATTAATACAATCTAAATTCTCTATTAAAATATTTATTAATCCAATCAACAGGAGGAGGAAGAAGATTCATTTTTATTGCATAAGCACAGTTTAAATAGTTACTACAGTAACCGAAAGTGTACTGTCTGGGTAAAAAATTCCAGTGTGCAAAAAATCCAATCAAGAATATGGCAGTGTTGTTTATTAATTACTAAAAAGCCATCTACAATGAGACCCAATCAGTAGATTATGTTTTTATAAATGTTTTTAAAATTATATAAAAGACATTTTTAAAAACATTTAGGTTAAATTTCCCTTTTTTATTTAAAAAAACTTTTATTTTAACATTTGAAGGAATATTTTTTTAACGTTT